CTGAGGTTTTGACTGGAGTTACTTACAAGGAGAACACTTTTCTAATGTCACTATGGGAAGTCCAGTCAAGTCTGTGGGTCTAAGAACATGCGGTACATAATGTAATGTATCAAGCAGAAGAATAAGCCATTAAATGGAAAAGAAGGTAAATTTTCCCCTTGGCCGTGAAGGTCAGGCTGAGCCACTTGTTTCGAATGTTCCAAAAAGGGTTCACATTATTGGAGAAACTTGCTTGTTAGTTTTACCCCATCTTTTTTCTAAAGCACTTGGCATAAGAACATATATTTGTCTGTCTTTTCACATCAGACCTTTGTCCAAAACTGTCTTTCTTTTAATCTTTTTTTGGCAATGGATCATAGCTGAAAAAAAAAACCAAAAAACTATGTGCTGATTTCCATTGAAACGTTTTTAAGAGTAAGGTCTGAAGACAAACTCGAAACTTATCAGTGGAAATTTGGAGCTGGGTCTGGAATTTGAAGTCCAGGAACAATTTAGTTCTTTTGCTACATATGTTTGTGTGATATATTTCTGATCCTTGTTCTTTCATTATTCAGTCACACACCCAGACTGAGGTTACATCAGCAGTTTTTCAGTGTGATGTCTAATTGGGAGTATTGTCTATGGTAAGGTGGAATACTCAGTATCACGGATATTTTCTTTTGTACCTGCTGAGTTTCTTGCACGTAGCTTTGGAGTAATTTCCTTTTGTGAAACCTAACCCACCAAATGCCCCTTAACGAGCTCAGAGTGCCAAGGTGGTGTGCCCCTGTGTGCTTGTCAGCTGTCACCAGGCAGAGGCTGCTTTGCATTCAGACCAGTCTGCCTACAGAGACAGGGCTTCTTAACTGCCTGTCAGTTGTTCATATTAAATATAGGACAGATCTACTACAGAGTTCAACTGTCTCCTACATATTAAAGAAGAAATTGTTTAAAGGTACGATGTATGCAACTCTAGCTGAAAAAATTTTGTGGACAGATTTATGAGAATGTTTAAACACATACCAAGCTTTAACCTAGATCAGATAGGACACCTAGGTCTTGTTTAGGTCTGTAATTTGGGTGTACTTTATGATATCCAAAATAGGTCTGTAATGTAGTCATGCGGATTCCAAAAATCTTGCAACTGTTACTCATGAAATATCAATCACAAATGGAAAACAATTACTTTAGAGTTGTGTAATGGTCCATAGAAGGTCACAACTACATCTCTGATCAGGACTTTAAGGGCATCAGAATATGAATGTGTGCCCCTATTCATGCTGAAAACCCAGGGTTTTACCAATAAGACTGAATGAAAAATTAATCTATTAACAATATTCCTAAGCAAAAATCAAACAACAACAACAAAAAAAAAGTGGAAATGTCTGTTTCAGTGGAAACCAGATGATGCCTCAAACAAATACTAGTATTTTTCTTCATATGGACATCAAAGCTCAGTGACAGACATCACTCTAATCCTATATTTGCTTCTGCATGTGTCTTTGCAATTCACTGGATTCAATACCATCCACCCACTCCCTGGTGTTGTAGCTCCATCCTATATTTACTTCTTATCAGTTGATTACTGGCTGTATCCAACAACTACGTACTCCCAGGATTCATCAGATAAATCAGAGTTAAGGTTAAGTTTCCTTTCCTTGACGCTGCTGTGCTGCTGAGCCTGCACTGAGACACAAAGCCCTTTTCTTTTGCTTAGTTTGATTTTTGTAGGACTGAACTCTGAGAATTCCTTGGTAATGTGTTAGCAGGCAAGCCCAAATATTGTTTTGCATTTTCTCGTTGACTGACGGTTTTACTCAATTCCTCAAATGTTTCCTTGTATCAGTATGAAAGTCTCTGCTCTCATTACTTAGTAATTCAATGTGATCTATTGTCTTTCCCTATTCCCTTTTTACTAATATCATCAAGGCAGTCCAGAAATCAGCTCATAAAATATTCGTGTACTCTTATTTGATTAAATGAACAACACAACTGTTCATCTAAAAGAAGACTTTGTATTATATATTCTGTAAAATAGTCAACCTCTGACGTTCTCCTAAAAGAAAATGTTCAAATAATTGTTTTTCTTTAATTTATCAGTTAGGACTCTCACAGAAATACATGTTACCTGAGACCAAGGCACATGGTTACATGCAGACATCTGTAGCAACACAGTATTTCCTTCTCCTCTCTTCATAAGATTGTTACTTATTCCCCATCCAGCCAACTATAGAGCAAAGAGAACCTTCATTTTTTATTTTTTTTAACACAGGCTTGTATGTCTCACAAATCTGGTGTGAGGAGGGACACTTATCCTGCTGCTAGAACTCCCTCCATCACTGCTGAATGTGAGATCTGATGCCAGGACACTTAAACCAAGACCATTCTCACATTGTTCCTGAGACCTGGTGGGAAGGAAACAAGGAGAAATTGTGTGTGTCCAGGTTTGGATATCACTTGCAAGAACCAAAGTAATTTTACGTATTTCAATTTTGTTTTTGTTTGGAATATGGACAAGGAGAGAGAAAGGACGTTTTACAAAAGAAGCTTTCTTATTGGGTTTGACAGAGAAGGCTCCCACCAAAATGCATTCTGGGCCAGGTTCAATATATAAGCTCGGTAAGGGAATTAATGTTTACTTTGTCAGATGAAGAGCTGTATAGATTTTGTGTTGGCCTTCTGCATAATGTGAATTTCACAAATTAGTGTAGAAGAAACTCCTAAACTTGAGACAGCTGCTAAACTTCAATTTTAACAAAACTTCTAAGCAGCCCTAAAAAAAAAAAAAAGAGAATTCCCCTTGCTTAGACTCCCAAAGAAGAAATATGATATTCTGTATAAATTTCACGTGGTAATGTTCATTTTTCAATGTACACACAAATACACAGAAGCAGAACGTGGTGTGCCTCAGTTCTGTATATTTTTGCAAATGCCATTATTATCTCAGGTAAAAATGACATCCAGCACCCTTGACTTTTCCCCCCTTAAAGGAAGCATCTGTGTAACTGTGTAACTTCCAATGTGGTTGCCTAGAGCTATACTTGTAAGATAAGCAACCTGCTCTAGTGGGAGGTGTCCCTGCCCATGGCAGGGGGTTTGGAACTTGATGATCTTTAAGGTCCTTTCCAATCCAAACCATTCTAAGACTCTATGATACTTGTGCCTACGACAGCTTTCGCCTGCTTCCCAGAATGAATATTTTTGCCTCTACAAGGGATGCAGAGACTACCGAGCAGTTCTCTTTCTGGCCACTGGGCTGATGTTGTGGAAAATTGATTTCCAGCTGGATTCTCTCACTTCCTCTGCTCTTATATTTTGGTTTCAGAATATCAGCCCATGATTGAGGGTCGAGCATAAATAGCAGCAAAGGAAGTAAGGCATGGAGGCGAGAGGGCAGGTGGTAGGAGCTGAAATGGAAACAGTGAGGGACAGACAACCATACAGATACAGTTATACAAGCAGATATGTGTGGGTATAATCTCCACATCCTGCTACATAAAACAAGAACAAAATTTATACACTGATATCTTCCCCAGTTCTCCCTTCTTATGTACTCATACTGAGCCTTTATTATTTTATTTCACTTTGAATGGTAATACAAGTGAAAGCAAGCCTTGCTTCACAATATGCATTAGCTTTGTGCTTGGACGTATTCATCTGAGATGATGCCTCTCACATCTTAAGCAAGTAGCATAGCTGCCAAAATACAGATGATGCAAAATATTTAACTGTTCATATAAAATGGCACTGCTCCAGCAGAAGAGAGAGAAGTAATTACAAAGGACAAGGGCTTTGCCTTAATATCACACATCCTAGCACCCTTTACTAACCACAGAGCCATTGTAGGCAGCTGTCTTGTTGATGGGAATGTGATTCCACAGAATATTTCAGTATTCATGAAAGGGGTTTTTTTGAAGGACTAAGGTTTTGTCTAAAATCTTTTCAGCACCCTTAGTGAGGAGGATCTTCTGAAGGACAGGGTGAAGGAGCAAACGGAGGGTTAAGAGGATGATCAGAAAAGCACTGAGTAATCAAATCTTGTCAGTGCAAAAGATTTGGTCAGTGGACCTGAAGAAGAAAGGGGATGGAGCACTAATTGTGAGCTTTGGCTAGAAACAACTAACATTTCAGATGTTTCATCTGCATTTCAGGCAGATTTGAAGTGCGTTAGAGGGAAGAACTGTTCAGTGAGCATTGTGCATCTTGTGCACTGGATAAACAGATTCCTTTCCTTATACTTTGCCACAGAGCCAGGTGCTTCTGTCTGCTGCGGGGAAGATGAGAAGTGCAAATGCCAGCCCGTGTAGTGGAGATGAGCTGACTATAGGTTCCCTAGTAAGAACTGGTTAAGATGGTTTCTGATTTCATGTGACGATGACATTTATGTAGAGGTATGCTGGCTCAAAGGCACTTTTTTGCTAATTTAATTTTCAAGCTCTTGCCCACATACATAATTCCACAGTTGCGAAATTGCCAGCAATGGAATGAAAAGATTGTTCAGGTTTTGAAATGATTGTTATTGAAATTGCTAATATTTTCGTTCTTCTAAATTTATTTTAAACTCCACTTGTTTTCAGTTTGATAAAACCTGATTTAAAATCACAGGGTTTTTTGCCCTGTTTGTTTCCATGAATCAGACCGGGAAAAAATCTTATCTGCTTAATATTTTCCATATATATAAATTTTCATGCATTTAGAGTATATCAACTATTTAAATTTTTAACAGTGTTCTGTAATACTTAGATGAACTTCACAGGTATGCATGATAATTGCAGCAAAACAGAAGAGTACCAAAAAAAAAAATATCCAAACTGAAGAAGTTAGCGATTTAATAGGTTTAAAGCAGTGTGTTAATTGGCTCTGAACTGTGACTAAGAATCAAAGTGGAGAAAACCACCTAAATTTACCCTCCCCCTTAGTCAGCGGTAAGCTTCATAGGACCCTCCCCAAACCAAATAAGGCCAGGAAGAATGTGTGAAGCACTGAGTGTGCTAAGAATAAAGTTGAGCTGGGATGGATAAGGTTACTTTGAACTCTATATTTCATGTTTCCTGACATACCCTCCAAAGAACTACAATTATGTTAGCGAGGCTGCAGGAGCATTAAACAGTTCTTTCCTGCTTCTTTTGCCTTTTGCTGCCTTTCCACGCGTTCCTATCCTGTTTAGAGCTTGGCCTTTTTACTTTTTATTTGTAGCGTGCATGGTTCTTAGGATATTGGAGAAAAACATGCTGAAGATGCACTGTGGGGCATGGCTATTTTTGTTAGAAGCTGATACTTTAGACTGAGCTTGAAGTGCTGCCTCTGGAAGGCCCTAGGTTGCTCAGGGAGGGCAGGAGTCTGCAGAGGAAACAGAAAGTTCAGAGGGGTGCAAAAGAAGAAGTAACAGAATTAGAAAAAGCAGAGGACCTCCCTCTTCTCATTCTGCAGCTCCTGCAAGAGCCAGCAACCCTGAAGTATTATCTAAGCTGCCACAGTAGATCTTGACCTTTTTTAAGAGAGTATCTCTTACCATCATCATCATGGCCGAGATTACAGCAGAAGGTACGGTAACTATTTTCAAATATAATTAACCAAAAACCGATATCTACTTTGACCCAGTGTGTCAATATGATTTGTTGCTCTTAGGAAATAATGTTTTCACTCCAGGATCATTTCATTTACGTTGTTGAATTGCTTTCTACTTTTCTTCCCTCTCTTTTCTTTTTTTCTTTTTTACTCCTGTAGTCTGAGTTTCTACTAGTTACTGAAGCTAGATCTCTGTACACCTCTAAAAATAGCGTTAGAATCATTTGCAGAACAACACTGTTCAGGCAGCTCCATTAGAGTGATAGAAGAAGAGGAACATCTGAATGTCAGGTGGTTCCACCCTCAAGCTTTTGCTCAGGTAAAGCTTTGGTAGTCCGTTATAATCAGAGGTTTGCTGGAGCCAGAATAGCTTAGTTTGGTGGCCCTGATTTTTTCCATAAGGAGCACAGAGTATTTGTGAACTGTGCATGGAGTTTCTGAAGGGTAAAAGCTATCCACTCTACAGGTAAACTTCTAAAGGAGTCACTGAAAGTTGTGCTGAAATAAGTATGCCAGAGCTAGGCCTGCAAGAATGAAAGCAAATTGTATTAACCAATAAAGACATATTCTAAAGTATGAATATTTCATGTACTTTAATATTTCCTGACCATTCATATTTAAATAACATTTTAGACGCATAACAATATTTTATCAGCCTCAGTCAGACAGGGGATATATTTAAAATGCAACTTTCTTTAAATCTAATACTGAATATTTTAGTTGAGTTTCATTCCAATCTTTTTTTTTTGTTGTTCCCAGTGTGGATTACTCCACTGTTTATCAGTAGTTGAGTTTCATTCCAATCTTTTTTTTTTTGTTGTTGTTCCCAGTGTGGATTACTCCACTGTTTACCAGAATTTAATAATGACACACCAAAAAAAAAAGCTTTTAAACAGTCTTCTGAAAGTTATTTTTATTCTACTTGTCAAGGTTATGTGGCATTTCAGTGTATGAAAGTTGTACTTTTCATCTTCCATTTTTCATTGTTAATATTTGTGAGAGGATCTGCATTTAGCACTATTAGAGAGAGAGAGCGAGCCCGTTTTCTTCTAAAGTATTCATGTTAGGACCATGTCAAATTGTGCGCTCCTTGCCTAATGTCTGGTTAGGCACCGCAAGGAGACGATGTACGTATGATTTTTTTTTTTAATCAGCAGTTGGACGGATCTATAATTCGCTTCTGGCAGCAAATACTGTCAAAACAGGTGGTTCAGCCTGACAGCCTGAACACAAATGCTAGCACTAGTTCATTTGTGTATTCTGAAACTAGGTTTGGTGGAAATATTCATTATATTATAGCTGCTATCAGGGAAATCAGTGAAATTATATTTGTTTTCCAAAATGCATGCATTAATAACACCAGTGTCAGAGGAGCACTATGGAAATACATCCAAGTAAAAAAAAAAAATCAGAATTAGCAATATTTTTAGCCCAAAAGTAATAGCAAAAATAGAAGACTTTTCAATCAGTCTGCAAGTGGCTTTTCAATCATTTATCTTATTAAAGAAAGAAAATAGAAGACCCTAAAATAAAATAAGAACATTTTCAGACTCTTTATAGTGTTTTTATAGTGTTTCTACAGGTGTTCCTTAGCTGTCATATTCTGTGTCTGTCTTTTGTGCTTTTTGTGTGCAAGACAATAGACTTCAGGCGACAAAGGGCATCAGTTTCACAGTAACCTGACCTTCAGCATGACAGGTAATAAGCCATATCATTTAGTTTAGGTTAGGCTATTCTAGGTTAGGTTATGTTAGGTTTGTTTTTATATTTACAATGAACCTATGTTAATTGGCTGATTTTGAAACTCTGGATCCACGAGATGGAAATTTTACTCATGGCAGAAAACTAAGAATTTAGCCTGGGGCTAATGTTTCACAGCAGTTTATTTTCCTCTGGGGCTACTGCGAGCATTCACAAGGCAATCTTGAAAGTTCAAATCTAAACTTTAGCAACACATAGTTTGGACAAATAAAAAACAATTAAAATACTTCTTGCTTCACGCAATTCCTTTTTGATTTTATTTTGTTTTATGCTACGTGCCAGCTCATGATTTGCTGGGGTCTTCTTGACTTTATTAGGATTAAATTATTTTCTCCTTGTGATAGGTATTCTTAACTCTGTTTTATGCTGTCAGCCACACACCAGCTACCCTGTTGGGCTCCTTGCCTTCTGGAGTGCCATGCTGGCACGTCAAAGACCAACCAGCATGGCTGCTGGTTTGGAGAGATGGTCCAGCCCTGGCAGAGTGATACTGTGGGTGCACATCTCAAGGTATCTCTTTCTGACAGCCCATGTCAATACCATAGTCTGTTCAGAGACAGATCCACAGGGCTGGTGGGGTGCTCTTTCAGGTCAACATCACGGTAGTGACAATGAGACTAAGTAGCTTAAAAATGTAGCCAGCACTGGTGGGGTGCTCTTTCAGGTCAACATCACAGTAGTGACAATGAGACTAAATAGCTTAAAAAGATAGCCAGCAAAAAATGATCCTGGCCTGTCTATTGGCATCGCACGCCACATGTGCTGCCTATTCATTTCCACAGCTACAAATTATTAGTCGAGGAAATACTGGTGAAGTGTACCCGGTGAAAGACAAAAGGAGGTCTCTGAAGACAGCAGCTTATAAATGTCCTTAGAAAGTTGGCAGGACCTAGGTCTCCTGCTGGCAAATATTTAGGAGAAGATTCCAAAGGATTATCTTCAGCATCCTCATATTACATGTAATTGCAACCACAGAAATGTACGGTTAAAATGTGGAAGTCTTTGGGACTGTATACCAAAAAAATTTCAGTACAGATACTACTGTCTTTGCAAAATTCTCAGCATATTATTATTGTTGTTGTTATTATTATTACATTTCAGCTGTTACTGAGTATTCTGTAATTGTCAGGGACTTTACTGTGGTCCACTTAAGAGCTTGCTTAGAAGGCCACAGGTACCTAACTGTGCTGCTCTGCTGAGTTCATGAACACGGGGATTGAACTGGACTCGGTGGCAGATGTGGTTAGAGCTGCCACGGCTGAAATACGAACACAAAGCCTGGCACCTCTTCTGCCCACGTACAGCTTAATCTGTGTGTACACAATAGCTCCAGCAGCAGCCCTATAGTTGGTCCTTTCTAGTCCAATCTTCTGCAGGTCACAGTGCGGGGCTGATGGCTGTCCCCTGGCACTTTCTCCTCCCACGCAGGGAGGAATGAACAGAGGCTGAGCTCTGCCTGATGCAATGCACCAGAGACTGTGCACTGATCTCATCTGGAGAGGTGAGGAGACAAGAAAGACAAGGTTTCTATACGCCAGCTGTTTGTCTGCCACAACTTATTTCCCCAGTGGAGCAAGAGGGAAGCAGGAGTCAAACAGGAGTGTGACAATGAGTCACAATTTGGTCCTTATTTTGCTGCTGCGAGCTGTGGAACTGCACATTTCCTTTGTCTCGGAGCAGGCTGCAAGGAGACAGGCCAGCCCCGGGGCCACACACAGCTTGTCAGTGACAAAATCAAAATTAGCTTCCGGATTTCAGTCTTTTTCTCAGGCTGTTTGGTAACTAGGAGAAGTTTTAAGACGTGAACCTTTTCAAAAGTCAGATTTAACAGGGTCTGTATGCTTGAAGATTAATATACGTGGAACTGATAATGTATGAGAAATAACACACCAGAGCCAGAGGTTAAAACCACGACGGCTTCACGAGCGTGATGGCCAGAAGCTATCAGCAGGCTCCAGTTGGCAAAAAGTTTAGCGAAGTCACACTACGGGCAAGAGGGAGATATCTACTTCTCATGGTAATTCATGAGTTGCTGCTAGAGGTGCTAGTTGTGCCGACTGCAAAAGGGGCCTAGATGAATAAATTAGATTAGATGATTCATTTTGATGGCTAAAGGCATGTGAAATATCTCCTAGTTTTCAGTCGGGCTGCTGTTTAAGGGTTGAGTTAAGAGGTTTCTATAGAATTTATTTGCAACAAGTGAATTTGCAAAATGAAAAGATGTCGTCTTTTTCTGGCTTTCAATATTGATACTATGCCTCTTGCATCAGGGTAAGGAAAATACAACAATTTTGGCAATAACTTTTTGAAGTAAGCAGTCTGCTCTTGTTCAGGAGTACCAGCTAAAGTCAACAGTCTAATTAGCCAGAGAGACAAAAAGTCAGAAACCCCAGGACTGCCTTAATAAAATCATTCTTTGCGGGGAACAGAAGCTCCAAATTCTCACTGAAATCTGGCAAAACTTGGATTCTGCTGTGTCTGTGGGCCTGGACACCCAAGGCTGACTGCAGCCTGGTGCTTTCTTGTAGCCTGTTGTGGCAAGTAAACGTGAAGCCAAATCTGTTAGCTTACATTTTAGGTTTAAGAATTTGCGCATTGCTACTCACAGATGGTATGGTATCCATGCACCTTCAGTCGGTACAAACTCTAACGTATCATTACCTTAGGTAGCCCATTAGAAAGTCAACTTACTATGGACAGCAGGGATCCTTAAAACCTATAAATCAGAGGTGTAAGCTGATGAGCCGTGATGCTAGTCCATCTAAAGTGCTAAAGGTGTGTGTGTGCAGTTAACTTGTGTTAACTTGTATGCAAGCAGCTGGGCTGTAGGTCTGAGCATGGGCTTATAAGCCTTGGGCTTATAAGTATTAGGAACATATTTTAAGTTTACTTGTATAATGAGAAATATATTTAAAAGCCTAGTAGTGTTTTCAAGTTATTAGGGTGCTCGGTTCCCACTGATTTCAAAATTAAGTCTGTGCAACTACTTAGATTCTCTAAAGTCCCACTATACAACTTCAGGTACCTACTTGAAAAAAAAAATTCTAGTCTATAAATATTTTGAGTACTTTTACCCATTGCCTACAATGTAAGCACTGAGTAAGAGGTAGATTCATGTTGCTTTTACTGCTCTGCTCTTGAAAGCAGAAACTGGTTTAGTTTAAAACACGTTTCATAATGTAGGTCTGGCTTCAGTCCAGGACACGCTGAGGACA